ATGCCTCTAGCTTCCATCCTGGACATATTTCTCAATCTATTGTGGGTAGCCAAACTCTAAGATACAATTGGATTTGCTCCAATTCCACAGACAGAGACAAACACCTACAGGATCTATATAGAGCATTCTTAAAACTTAAATACCCACTCAGGGAAGTGAAAAAACAAATTGACAGAGCCAAAAAAGTACCCAGACATAAACTACTTCAAGACAGGCCCAAAAGAGAAAACAACAGAATTCCACTTGTCATCACCTACAGTCCACAACTTAAACCCCTCCAATGCATTATCAATAATCTACAACCTATCCTGGAAAATTACCCCTCACTCTCAGAAGCTTTGGGATAAAGGCCATTCCTCACATACAGACAATCCCCTAACCTCAAATAAATTATTTCCAGTAACCACGCAACACATCTCCATCAAAATCATCGAGGAACCCACCCCTGATATCACCCCCGGTGCCAACTCTGCCCACACATCTACACTAGGGATCTAGTGTCAAAAAAGACATAATAATTCCTAATATACCATGGGTCTTCCATTCAGGCTAGAAGTGCTCTCAGGACAGGTATTACCTCCATTGAAAGTGTCTGTTAATAGTCAGTACTGGTATAAATCCACTGAAATCAATGAAGTTCACTTATGCCAAGACTGCATCTGACCACAGTCCTTGAGCCTCTCTTATTTCAGTATGACTCCTGTAGTTGTTCCCTGTCGATGCCTGTATAAAAATCCATTCTGACAGAATTAGAAAAAAACCCAGCCAATCTGTTTGCCAAAGGAAAACCTTTTGGATTTTGTTTAGACAATAGAGAATATGTCCAAAATGATCACATAAACTGCAGCATTGCCAATATCTTGTTTTTATCACAAGTGTTGCATATTTGAAATTTCATATTTCCTATGACATTTAATATTTTTCTTAAAGCCCTTGCTTCTGAAATCATATAGGTTAAACTTCTAAAATCTGGGACTCTCTGGTCTGGCAACATACTGGACCATAGATATTGCTGGATCAAAGTGCTCCAGCTGGTCAGGTTCAGCAACTGGGCTGGTGGTGGGGAGTGCAGCCCTGCTTGGGCTTCAGGCAGCGGGGCCAGTGCCCAGAAGCATAGTCGTGGCCAAACTGGCAGAGTAGGGAGCGCAGCCCCATCCACACTGGAGGCAGCAGGGAGTGCGGCCCTGACCAGGCTAGAGACAGCTGGTCCTGGTGCCCCCAGTGCGGCAGGGATAGCCTCATTCCCAGGTGGGAGCGCAGCCCTGGCAGAGCTACAGGCCAAGGTGAATGGTGTGGAAAGTCCGGTGCCTTGTCCCCCCCGGTCCAGCAAACTCAATGGTTCAGAACTGCTCAGGTCCAAAGGGCTCAGACTAGGGAGGTCCTACCTGTATTACGAGAATCTTAGCTTCCAGTCTTTTAAATACCTGTCGTAAGTTTCTAGCTTTATTGTTGTGAAGAGAACCTTGCAAATGTAACTGCTAAATGGTCCAGTACTAAAAGGACTTTAATTTAAAAAAAAAAACTCGTGATTTTTAAGTCAGTCACATGACTTTTAGGGGGTTTGGAAATGCTTAGACTGGCATTAATGAAATTAAGTGCACAGCAAGATGAATGATGCTGTGGACAAATTTCTTGGTGAGGTAGAAGGAACTATAAGCAAGGGAGGAGCAGCTGCTCAAGAATGATAAAGAATGTAGATGATCTTCCCCCCAGTTTATGAAAATGGCTGTATATAGCAAAGTTCTCCCAGTGCATACACAGGGTCCACAGAGGTCACTTTCAAGAAACGTTGTCATTCATTGAGCTGCACATTGAGTTAAAAAAGGCAGGATACCTGAAGAGTAAGTAGTGACAGAAATATTAACCAGAGTGCCATACCCCTCTCTCAATTTTTGATGGGGGGGGGACTCCAAGATTTTGGAAAGTGGTAAAGGACTGCACTCTTTCATGGGGTCTGGGATGGAGGTTGGGTGTAGAAAGGCACTTAGGGTAAGGCACTGGGTTGCAGGAGGGTATGTGAGGTCTGGGAGAGAGTTTGGGTGAAAGAGGCAGGTGTGACCTGGACTGGAGTACAGGAGAGTGTGCAAGAGTTTGTGTTATGTCCTAGAGCATGGGATTGGGGTACAGGGTCTTGGAGGGGACATGGGTTCAGGAGGAGAGCAGAGGGTTTGGCTTATGTGGGATGGGGGACAGAAAAGGGGGGGCAGAGGGATGTGGGAAGGGAGAGGCTGGGGTGACAGAGGCAGGGTCTGCCTGGAAGACTTACTGGGTGACTCCCAGCCATCTGCCCAGCACTTTCACAGGCAGCATCCCTGCCTGCCTGCCTGCCCACTCCACCCCCCCCCCTGCTTCCAGACCTACCTGCCTGGGAGGGTTTCACATGCCGCCTGTTTTTCAAACAGGCAGCTCCCATTGGTTAGAAACCAGACAATGGGATTGTGCTTCGGGGCAGGGGCAGCAGAAGCCTCTCCCACTTCCCCTTCCCGGCTCACAGCTGTGAAACACAAATGGCCTCAAAGCTGTTTTTCTGAGCAGCATGCAGGGGTGGGTAGGGCAAGCAGAGTGCCTGCCTGAGTGTCTCAACTATGGCCCCGTACTGGATCTGGTGTCTTGGTGGGCCGGATCCAGCCCACATGCTGTATTTTGCCCAGCCCTGATCTAAAACCTAATAAGGTGAAATTTTGACTCCACTGATCTCCATGGGAGTTTGGGCATCGACTTCAATAGGCAGGATTTCTCTATATGCGATGCTGCATTTTAGAGGTTTCACAATTTCAGACTGTCTGATATAGCACAAAGGAATGAATTAATCATTGGTTAAACTCAATGGAGCTATGAACAGGGATGGATGTGCCAGGAGTCCTGCCTGCCTCCCTGTACTAGAGGAAGCCATAGCATTGTAATATCTAAATATTACATCTAAATGCACAGTTAAATGAGCAAATGAGTGCTCCAGTAAAGTGGTGTGGACAGCACTCCAAGTGTACATCAAAATAATGTCTTCACATTCTATTTTAACTTCACATTGTAATTCCAGGAGAGTTATTATACTAGTAAAGATAAAACATTTGATTTCATTTACTATATTTCTCATACACTGACATTTAAGTGCTCTATGGCAGTGCTCCCCAACATGGCGCCCGCAGGAGCATTCGTGTGCGCCTGCCAAGTGCTCGGGGCTGGCCTGGCCCTGGGCACATGGCGTATGTATGGCCTGGCCCTGGGCGCATGGCGAACGGTGAGCGCTGGCCCCGGGAGCGCCGCAAATTGGCCGCCCGCGCTCTGGGTGTGTGGTGCTTGAAGGAGGCGCCGGCCCCGGGCGTGCGGCACCTGGAGGGGGGGAGCTACGGCCCCAGGCGCGCAGCACTTGGAGAGGGGGGGACACCGGCCCCGGGCACGCTGTTATGGGGGGCCCTGCCCCTTGGCGCCCGGCGGGCGAACTGCCACGCCCCCTGGCACCCGGCAACCTCCAGAGGTTGGGGACCACTGCTCTACGGGAAGGTTCTGTTCTGTTAACATTTGTTCTCCCTTTAGGTGAATCACTGAACTAGTTTTTCTTGCCTGTCCAATAGCTGATAAATTAGAGACTCCAAGACAGTTTTGGAAAGAATAATAAATAACCACAGTGTCATGATCAATATTTGCTTATTGAAGAAACCGGTCTCTTATATCCAAAACTGCAGGTGAGCCATTGCTGAATGTAATTTGACATCTCCATTTGCCAAAAAAAATAAAAAAATAAAAAAATAAAAATCCTGCATTCCTGATATTTCTCATTATCAGGACTATGAAAGGTCCTGTACAAACACAGCACAGTGAGTTACATAGTGTAATGTTCACATGGGGCAGAAGATCCATGCAGCAGCCTCTAACATTCATGCCCATAGCAAGAAGGGCATGGCTGGAACTCCACAATCTCTCCTGTGTATTATTGTGTATTATTGCTGTGTGTTACAGATGAAACTATATGCTCATTTTAATTAAGCCAGTATTATGGAGTTGTTTGTTAGTCAATGGATAGTCAGTGGGATTTCAGTTTATACAAATGAATGGTCAAAAACACTGTGGAGAAGGCCTGGAGATGCACTGAATGAACAGCCATACACAGCCTGCTTTTCATCCCATACCTGCAGCAAGGTATTCTCTGCACAAAGCCCAGCTTCTCAGGAAGGGGTGAATCTCAATCATAAGTTACTTGTGTGCTCCTAGGAGATATTTTAAGATAATTTTTTTCACTCTGTAGAAACTTTCTGCTGTTACCAAACTATATACAAATGTAGTAGGCTACAATTTGTTGTCTTTATACTCAGAGAAATATGTACAGTGAGTGTTCATTGGAATTTCAGATTGCTTGACAGTAACTGAAAGCAATATTTGGCTCTGGCTCTGTAACCACAGAAACATTTACTTGACAAAAATGTTAGCACATGTGAAAAGGTATTTAAAGTTTGAGTGAAAAGGACAGAACAAAATGAATTTAGATTTAAGAATGTCTTCCATAATAACTTTGGTCTGACTCTACATATCCCATTGGTATCTCAATATAAACAATTAAGAAGGAAATTTGCTTATGTACTATCAGCTTTTTAAGATAATTGAACATTTAATTTGTGTTGTGCTGATACTGGGGGAATTCTGCAGTTGTTGCATTTGAGCCATAATAAAATTGCAGAATTCCCACAGGACTTGTGTGTGTGAGAGAGAGAAATTCCACTGTTAATTTCAATACAACGAATATTTTATTTTTATTTCTTAACTATACTAATGGGGTGAAAATTTTCAAAATTGTCCAAGAGACTTAGAAACCTAACCGCTATTAAAAATCAATGATATAAAAAAACCCACATTTTTTCAGTTGTAAATTTGGTGCACCATTAACATTTGTTATGGAAACATTAAAAACCATGTGTTAAAACTGGAGCCATGTTGATTTACACCAACTGAAGATGTTCTCCAAAATCGTTTTTTAGGGGAGGCAAGGGAATAATCCTGTAACTTACCGTGATTGCAGGTCCAGCAAAAGTCAAACTAAGCAACATCAGAAAAGGAACAGCCTCTTGTGTAGGTTCAATGTATGGCATACTGAGACTCCTGTCATAGCAGCTGAATCCAGAGTGAACTGGCTTGAAGACATCAGTAAGTTCAAGAAAATAGAGACTAACAACAGAAGATGCCAGTATGGGCAACTGGGAAGGAAAGAAAAACAATTCATTGTTATTCTTTGTAATATTAAACCTAAAAACCCTAACAACCCTATCATATTTTTTTTTGCAAAAGCAACAAAATCTATTAGTAACACAATAGAAAGTTTAAAAGGCTTCATTTCCATAAAATGTGATGTTTCTGATGTTGCAGAAGTTCCAGCTAGCAGAGTCAACTATTTTAATTAGCCTAGAATTGCATAATTTACTCAAATACAGTTAGTTGTATACAAGTAAATTCATTACTGGCATTGAAATGCTTCTCAAATGAATGAATCACTACTTCATAAGAAGTGATGGATGGATTTCTAGAGTTTCAGAGCTACAATTCATAGAATTATAGACATTAGAGATAGTAAGTTCTGTTTAGTCATTAAGGCCCACATTTTTAAAAGTACTTAGACACCTAACTCCACTGAAATCAATAAGAGTTAAACACCTAAATATCTTTAAAAAATTGGACCTAGCCCATTCCTCCATTAATACTGGACTGTGTTCTGTAGTATGTGTCCATAGTCCGTATAGTATAATTGTCCCATATAATTGTAAATACCACAAGGAATGGGGTTCTACAGCTGTCTTTCCTGACATACCATCTAACTAATGCTATTCTTTTTAACACTTCATTGCTCCTTATTATATCTGTTTTATTACTTTTAAATACAGGCAGTCCCCAGGTTACATACAAGATAGGGACTGTAGGTTTGTTCTTAAGTTGAATTTGTATGTAAGTCGGAACTGGTACATATTGTAGGGGAAACTCTAGCCAAACATTTCTCCAGAGCTCAGTTTTTTTCTCCCACACCTCACTTCCCTCAGTCCTTTATTCTCAAGCTGAGGTGTCTGCTGAGAAAAGCCACTCTGCGTCTCCCTGGTCTGCTGGGGGGAAGCAGCTAGTGCGGGGTTGCCTCACCCCGTTTGTAAGTAGAGATCCGATGTAAGTCGGATCCATGTAACCCGGGGACTGCCTGTAATTCAGTTTCCCATACTTCTGTGATAATAGCTGAATATTCCCATATAAGCCTTTAGTCAGTTGAGCTGGTAAAACTATTTGTGGCAATCTTATTTCCCAAACAATTTAGCTTTTTTCATCTGTGACACATTCATGAACATGTTGATATTTTCAAATGTAGGCTCCAAACCTAAATCACAGGCAAGTCTACATTACACGAGGCTTCTGAAAGAAGATATGCAAATGTGGCTCAAATTTGCATATCTTCTGGGTTTTTTTCCCGGGAAGAGGCTTTTCCAATATTTGGCCCATTTATATGGGCTCAAATATCGGAAACCCCCCCTCTTTCAAAAGCCCCTTGTAAACCTCCTTTTAGGAGGAATAAAAGGGCTTTTGAAAGAGGATTTTTTTTTCTGATATTTGTCCCTGTGTAGACAGGCCAAATATTGGAAAAGCCTCTTCTGGGAAAAAAAATGGAAGAAGATATGCAAATTCAAGCCGAATTTGCATATGTTCTTTGAAGCCGCGTGTAGTCTAGACGTGCCCTATATAGTGAATTCAGGATTACCTTTACACATGCGTGGAGCCCCAAGGATTACAATATACAGGTGCACTGTTGCAGGATTAGGGCTTCATTTCTGATTCATAATTGTTTGACAAAAAGATTACACATTTGTATACCACTATATGGGTTGTTAATAAAGTAATATTTTCTATTTATAGTGAATGATTGTTCAGCTAAATCGCATGGCATTGTTTCTGTTTATTGCTTGCCTGACTTATTCATCAAAAATGTCAAATGCCTTTGCTCTTCTTGCATATATTTTATCAGCTCTTCAACCAGACTAGATTTCACACTTGACCCGGAAGTACAACAGCTTCCTGTTTACTCTTGCCTTTTGTTTAGGGTCCTTCAGCCAGTTTTCAATTCACATGATAGTGTATATACACTAGCCAATTTGAATTCAATTTCTAAGGAAGGTTTAATGAAAAACTGTATGCAATGCTTTACTTTAAGCTATCTATTTAATTGCCTTCTCCTATTCATTTTGGGTAAAGAATTTTTTTTTCTATTAAAAAAACAATTAATTTTGTCTGGCAGGATTTATTCCTATAGAAAGCATTGATTATTATAGGTCATAGCTTCTTTATCATCTAGATGTTTAGTGATTTTTATCCCTTACAAATTAGTTTTATTAATTTATTAAGGAGAAAAGTTAGACTTATGAGGGAAACTTCACCCAGGCTCTCCATGAGCTTCTGAAAGCACCGATTCTACGAGAGGGTCTTCTTTTGCAGATAGAGTATGTGGGAAGTTGTGGCAATGGCAAGCAGGCAAAAGCACACTTCTAGGAGTGTGCATGTGTAACCTACATGCCTATTGGGTGAAGTTCACTGTCCCATGTAGTGGCACTTACAGAGATAGAGAATGAGTTTGCTCTAATGCCTTAGCTGAGAGCATTTGGCCGTTAGCTCAAATGGTAGACACTCATACACTAAACTGTTACATTTGCTTTTTCTTTAGTCCTTAATATAGCTAAAAATGCAAACTTGCAAGGTCTACATAGACTATAGCTACTGCACCATTCAATGAAGATATTTCATAGCACCAAACATGAATTATTCTATTTCCCTGGCAGAAAATATTCTTCCATGGCAACACATCATCCTGTGGAAAAAATGGAATTTTCCTTCAGAACTTAATGCATCACTGGATTATGCTGCTTTTGAAATCTTCAATGTACATTTGATAAAAATGGATAAAGACAAAATTATACATATCCATTGTAGAGTAAAACAAAGTAAAGATTTAGTGTGTGATGTGTATCACGTGACAAGATAATGAATGATAATGTTTGTAAAGGGCCGTGGAAAACCGTCTGGGTCCACTAACTGGCCATTTCCAAACTTTAATTTCTTTTCTTTTCTTTTTTTTTTTTTTAGGTGAAGGCTTTTTTAAAAGAAAATATAATTTTAGGTGTGGAATGAAAGAGGCTGTTAGATGGACTCTGCTGAAATATTCTTTATAATGGAGCTTGGTTTCTGAAAATATCAGAATAGCCTTGAGTGCTATAGTACAAAGAGCCAGAGTTGGTGGGCCCCAAGATAAGATAGAAAGGGTCCAACTCAGGGGGCCCTGGAGGGAGCTGGGCCTTTAGTGAAAGGGGGAGGGCTGGGGGTCTTCAGTGCTGCCCACACTGCACAGGGCTTCAGCAGTGAGGTAAAGGGCCTATGGCTCCATCCACTGATGCTCCTCTGGTTGTCATGACACTGGCCAGGAATCCTAGGCCCTTTTAAATTATTGGGTCTAGGGACTGCCACCCATTTTTTCCCCATCTTCAGTCAGCAGCCCTGTAAAGAGCTGCAGAGTTTAGCTTATCTTCAAAATTATTGCTATGAAAAGTGTGCTGAAGGTAGTCTAAGGAATAACTTTGCATGACTTGCTCTCTGGTGTCAGGTCATTATGTTGTAATTTCAGTTTTAGGCTCATTCTGATTGCATAGGAAAGGAATGTGAATTGACATCCCGAAGAAAAAGCAAAGAGTTGGCATTTCCAAGAGTGTCTTGAATATAACACAATAAATCTATTAGATTTACTTAAATAAATAGTAAATGCATCCAATTTTTGAATTTTATTATTTTTGCTATCATTGGAAACACCAAAGTTCTTTAGCTAGATGAATTATTTAAGTTCCATCTCAGACTACGCACTCCAGATAACTCCATTTGACTTCAGTGACAGCCAGGCATATGCAGTGACTCAGGTCAAGTCTGCACTAGACCTGGGGGTCAGCTTAAAGTATACAACTCCAACTATGGGTGATACAGAGAATATGTAGATGGAGTCAGCTGAGCTTGGAGATGTTCCCAAGGTGGGAGGACGATGGGAGAAAACGCTCCTGTCAGCTTTGTTACTCCTCATGACTGCAAGGAGTACAGGCACTGGCTGGAGCTGCCATCAGTATTCGATTTACAGATCTAAACTAGACCCACTAAATTGAATGCTAGAACGTTGATCTCCGGCACAGTGAGTGAAGATGTGCCCTCAGTATGATTGCATGGTAATGCAAAGAACAAAGAGCTTAAGGGACAGTCACAGTCCCTGTGCTCAGGGGATCACTGAGATTGCTTCTGGGTGCACAAATAACTGCAGATGGGATGGGAGGAAGAAGGGTCATAGTGAGGTAATATCCCCTTATTCCACTCAACCCAGAGTTGTTCAGGTTTGCAGAAGGAGCAGCTTGAGAGAGATCCATTTGGTGGAATGGTGCAGCATACATGTTAGCCCCTCCCACTGGAAAACTCAGAAACCTGGAAAACCCATGGCCAGTGCAGCCCCTCTGTTGTGGCTAAATAGTAACCTGGGTCTATACACAGTCTGATTTCACTGATACCATATAACACTGTTTATGCAACTGTAAAATCTGACATAAAAATCATTATTATTATTTGCATTACAGTGGGACCTAAGAGTGTCAACTGAAATCAGAGCCCACATTGTGGTAGGTACTGCATAAACCACATAATTAGAGACAGTCCTTGCTTCCAAGAGCTAAATTGGCATGGGAGGCAAAGGAATAATCATTCTACTGCTTACAGAAGAGGAGTTGAGGCACAAAGAGATTATTTGGTTTGCTCCAGACCATGCTAGAGTGGAACCCAGATTTCTTGAGTTTTAGGGCAGTACCTTACCCACAATCCATATTTCCTTTCTGACTGATTCCCAGCTATAGAAATTGCATTTATATGGTGAGATTGAGCTATTTTTAAATGCAAAATATTTTAAATAGTCATATAATGAATTAATTTGAATACCTTTTATTTTCAAATGTTATCTGCAGTTTCATTATTACTAATTACAGTACAAAATCCAGGAAACACCAACATTTAACAGTGATGCTTAGGAACCTCAGCAAAGGACAGGACCCAGCCCCCCCCCTCCCCCCCCCACTGTGCTTTTCACTTCTATGTTTACCATATTCTTTCTGAATATAACCATGTCCTCCCCAAAAACAAAAAGAACTCTAAAGGCATAATAACCCCTACAATAATTTCTCAGAAATGCTAATGAATACTTTTATAGACAATTTGCAATATACTCTGTCATGTCCCATACAACATCTTGTTCTCAAGGACAAGACCATTTTCATATCTTTTTTTCACAAGGTAAACATAAAATGTGTCTTTAAAAAGGCAAAAGAAAGACAAGTGTTTATTCAATATTCTAAAAATTATAAATGGCTGTTTTAAAATATGAATATTTATTGAGAATTCTGCTTAGGGCTGGATTAGGGTTGTAATTTCAGGCATTAGTTTCTGACACCCTAACATGTCAGACATAATAAGATGGTAATAATGTGCATTGTTTTAATTACTAAATAGAAATTACTTTTCTTGTTTCTAATTGGAATAAAAAAAGAAAACCAAAATACCCGGGCTAATGAGTCTTCATATTCTCACATGTTCAGGCAATTTAAGAAATATCTGACTTCTAACTTCTGTTTTGGATTATAATTTACCTTTGGAAACAGAAAAGCTGATCCAAGCCTAGTGAAATCAGTGGAAAGATTACCATTGGTTTCAAAGGACCTTGTATTAGGACCACAGACAGCACAGTTAGGAGAAGACCTAATTACGAAACTTCAAATATTGCCCATTTTTGGCCACATTTTCATGAACCCGCCCTCTCTCCCCCCACACACCTTTTTCTCCCTACTCTAATGAGGAGGCTTTCTTAAATCGAAGATTTGTATTATTCATTATTATGATAATTATTATTTATATTGTAGGAGACCTAGCCCTATCATGTAATCCCCTAAAAAAGCTTAACAAGGGGTAAACATATATGCAAATATTTTCAGGAGATGAATAAAGGTCAAATGCTCCTTTGTGTTGCATAATGTAGTTCAAAACATAGGACCCTAATTAGTCAGCAAGACCTAATCCTTGTGGAAGTGGCCCCAGATCTGGTGGAAGCTCCTTCGAGAGGTTGTTGTAAACTTATCTATTCATAGTTTTGAATGCATGGGAAGGGAAAATGTCAGGCACCAGTCACTCTGCACTGAATGTCTAGTAGAAATCTCAGAGGGTGTCAGTCCTGAGTCTGTTACCAATCAATATTTTCATTAATGACCTGACAAGTAAGCATTTAACATTTACAGGGAAGAGGTTGCAAACACTTTGGAAGAGAGGATAAGAATTCAAAATGACTTTGCCAAATTGGAGAATTGGTGAAATCAATAAAAATGAAATTAAATAAAGAGGTGCAAATTACTTAATTTAGGAAGGAAAAATCAAATGCACTGTTACAAAATGGGAATAACTAGCTAGTGTAATATTGCTGAAAAGAATTTGGAGGTGACAGTGGAGCACAGATTGAGTATGAGTTAACACTGGAATGCAGGTGCCAAAAAGTCTAATACATTCTGGGGTGTTGTGACATTATGGAATTGTGTTATGAATATACAAATCATTGTTGCAACCACTATTATGTGTTTGTACCAAATCTTATAAAAGTGGGCCAATTAAGATGTCCATGAAAAGCTTATGATTCTCTTATTCTGTTTAAACTGCTCATATGGATGTATCATTGTTGTATTTGAAAATATGAGTATTGTCGATATATTTGTATTGCATATGTTTGCTTCCGGGAGATATCAACAGGAGGCTGTTGTGAAAGGGCTGTTAATCTAGTGAATAGAAGTACTTGACTAACAATGTACCCTGGGTGGTGACAATACACATCTAATGAGCCTCTCTGTTAATGTTCACATTGTTGGAAAGCAGGCTTTTTCTGTCCATGGCCTTCGCGTATAGCCCATCCTGCCACACAAGGCCCCTCACAGAAAACTCAGACTGTGAGATACTCAGAGAAGCATGGGGAGCACAATGCAGCTTTCTGTAAAACGGGATTTGGCCTTGTAGGCATCATAGAACAGGGAGGTGAGCATGAAAAAATAGAACACAAGCTGCAAGAGAGAAATAAGACTCTCTTGACCAGTCCTTGAAAGCAGGGAGGTAGGCATAGGGAGATAAGATGCAACTGCCATGCTCACTGACCATGCCCACACCCAGCACTGTCCACGAGGCCATCAGGCGGGCATCATGAAAAATCCTATAGGGCAGTATTTCACATTACCTCATTACCAGCCTATCAGGCCCGGCCAAGGAACTAACCCTAATAAGGTACTGGATATCAGGTTATGTTATAAAAGACCCTCACAACCCCTTTGTTCGACGGAGGTTCCGTGTATTGAGGGCACGTGGTTTTTTTGTCCAGCTGAAGGATTGATCACCCTGAGGCTGCCTTCCCCACCCTTCGAGTCAAAGATAGGGGTGCACGAGTCCTGAGCATGCTCCGAGTTTTTGTGTGTTTTCATGTTGTTATCATTGCTGGATTTGTAAGTATTACTTAAATCTATCAATTGTTAGCTTAGTCAGTAGTTAAGTTGTATTAATCATATCTTGTAATCTTGTGAGGTATAAGCAAGTTGCATTGTATAGATATAATCGTATAATTTTGTGTAGTGTAGTAGTGTTGTATTTAGGTTAAGTATAAGTGTTGGAAATAGAAGCCCAGGAGTTGTTAAGTTGTAAAAGTAGATTTATGACTAACTCCACCAGCTGCCCTAAAATAAACACAGAGAGGCTGGCTTTAGACAGAGTTTTTATTATCGTTATATTGTCTTTGTTTTTGTATTTTTGTTAAGCAAATTAGAGACAGTGATTTAATATAAGTAAATTGTAATCTAGGAATTGTAATCAGTTAGGTATAGTTGTGTTCAAGTTTTCTACCCTGTAAAAGCATTAGGCAATTGTTAGTTAAAAAGACCATTTTCTAATTGTTGGTTTTGATAAAAGAATCATTCCACATAATAAAGATCATTTGTTTTACACCATCATCCAGTAGTTTTCACTAGGTAATCGGCTTTAACCCTTGAGGCTTCCACCACATCACCGAACCAAGGTGTAACACACATCAGCATGGGAATGATGGTTGCTCCCTAAAAAAAGGACTGAGTCATGCAGGAACAGGTGACTCTCATGTGCCAAACTCCATCTTGGGACATACTTTTATACAGCAAGAATGATGGCAGTCCTTCTTCGTGGCCAGGCTTATAAAAAAGGCCCTCAGGGTTTCTCCCTCACCTCTGGAGGATCTTTACTATGAACTAAAGCTTTCAAGGACTTGTAACCCATCCTAACAGAGGATGCACTTTGGAGAGCTGATTTAAAACAGAAGATGATTCCACCTCTGCTACCAGCTTGCACCAATAATTTTGCAATTGGTATGTGTATTGGATTCCTTTAACAGTTTTAACTCTGATCCTTTCTTTCTTTTTTTAAATCAATAAACCTTTAGCTCAGTGGTCACCAACCAGTCGCAATTGACTGGTCAGCCCTGGAGACTCTCCAGGTGGATCACAATCTCTGGCAGGAAGCAGGCTTGCTGATAAGCAGAGCTTCACAGCCGGCCGTGTGTGTTCAGGTGTCCTCCCCCCATGTTGCTCCCTCTTGCCGTGGCTGCTGGCTGGCTGGCTGTGCACAGCCTGGAAGGAGAAGGGACACTCATGTCAGAGTGTCCCCCTACCTCTGTAACCCATCTCCACACAACAGGAAAGAGGGAGGCCAGCTTGTTATTCATCATTTGTACCCAGTGATTGGTTGAATTTCGGGTCCAGTGGTCCGTGCTGCAAGTCTGAGGGAAGGGCCTTTAGAAGCCCGTCCACCTCCTCTAATTCAAACAGTGATTGTCTCAGACTCAGAGCACTCCTGAGTGTATGAGATTGTCTGTCTGCATTTCTTAGAGACAGAACCCTCTTTCTGAGATTTCCTCAGCATCCAGCTTTCATAGTCTCTTTCTGTTACACACACACACACACACACACACACACACACACACACACACTTTTCCTCCTCTCTTCCTCTTCCTGTCCTTCTACCCCATCTCCGCAAAGTAGGGAACAAGAGACATAGTTAGGGTTGCCAGATGGTTTCAACAAAAATACCAGACACATTTGACATTACATCACAATCTACATGACATCTTATTTAGAGAATATCAGACATTTCTATTTTCTCATTTCTATTTTCTCAATTTGTTTCCTGAACAGAAAGCTCAAATACTGGACTGTCTGGTTCAAAACTGGATACCTGGCGACCCTAGACATAACTTGGGTCAGGACAGGAGGACTGGAAGCTGCTGTGGTCTGAGGTCTACTCTGAATGGTGAGTGCCAGTGCACTGTTTTTGAGATTTTCCTAGTAGCCAGCTTATAGTCTCTTTCTCTCTCTCACACACACACATACACAACATCTGGGTTACATACAGTCTCTTTCACACTGACCTCCCAACACACACTCGTATTGTACTTATTACAATATATTGTATAAATAGTCTCTGTAATTTTTGTCTTTCAAAGTATTTAAGGGTGTTCACTGATCTATGAATTTCATTTTAATTTCTATTTTTCTTACACTTGAATTTAATTCTTTGAGTAGTGAGTTCTAAAATGCCTAACCTGTTCATCCATATTGTAATTTTTTAAAAAATACATCTTGGTTTTTTGTTTCTACTGGGGGTGCCCATTGGCCAGAAACAGCCCCCTTCCAAAGCCAGCATCTCATGTTCCTTCCTGAACCCTATACCTCCTTCCCCAGACCAGAGCAAGTACCCCACAACCCTTCTTATACCCCTGCCCCATCTGAGCCAGTACCCTGTACCCCCTTGTGCATCCCAATACTCTGTCCAACCCAGAGCCACTCCTGCACCCAAACGCCTTCCCTGAGCTTGCACTCCTCACCCAAATGCTCAGCTCCAGCCCAGAGTCCACAGATGAGCAGTGGGGAGAGCAAGTGGGGGGTGGGGATAGATTGGTAACGCAGGGCTTTGAGGAAGGGGTAGGGCTTCAGCAAAGAGGCAGTGTAGCTCTTCAGTTGCCCTTACATTAAAAAAAAGTAATCCTGGGCACAAAGAAATTGGAGACTACTGCTTTAGACTGTGGAATCTAGAGGACTGGCTAGAAGCGTGCTCTTTTGCAGTAAGGTCTGAGTTATAAATTGACCTGCAAGTGTGGCTGGTCCTTTGGGATCAGAAGAACTTTTTTCGATTTGGTGAGATTGATTTTTCATAACCTCTCACCTGTACAGGGAATAGTACTGCCGGTGGCACAGGAGAACTGGAGTGTCTAAGGAAATTGCTTGTATGACTTCTTGCTAGTATTTTGTTACAGGTGTACTTTATAGTGGAGGACCTCTGTCTTAGGCCGTAAGTAGCCCTCCCTCTAAGTAATTCACCCTGAATTGACACACACAGCAGTGCCCTCAGAAAACCTCCTATATCACAGGTGTATTAACAGTAGTGTTATATGTAAGATATCAAAGTTAATTGTCCTGATCTACTTGTCACTGGCAATGCTTCAGCTGGAGTAATATGTCCATTTCTGTGTGCCACACTTTAGGAGAGAGATGAGCAAATTGGAACTATACCAGCAGAAAGCAAACAAAAAATGATAAAATATTTAGAAAACCTGATCTATGCGGGCAGGTTAAAAAAATGTGGTGTATGTAGTCAATCTTCAAGTCACCAGGACCTGATGAAATGCACCCTAGAATACTCAAGAAGCTGAGTAAGGAGATGAGAGTGATTAGTTATTATCTTTAAAAAGTCATAGAAGACAGGAGAGATTCCAGAAGATTGGAAAAGGGCAGATATAGTGCCCATCTATTGAAAAGGGAAATAAATTCAACACACGGAATTATAGACCAGTCACCTTAAATTCTGTACCAAAAAAGATAATGGAGCAAATAATCCTTTGACAAACAGGATAAGGTCATAAATAATAGTCAACATGGATTTGTCAAGAACAAATTTTATCAAACCAAACTAATATCCAGTCCAAAAAAAAAAAAAGGGGCTAACAAGCCTTTTGGATAAGGGAAGTGGCAGATGTGGTATATCTAGACCTTAGTAGGGCATTTGATATAGTCTTGGTTGACCTTCTCATTAACAAACTAGGGAAATACAACATATATGGAGCTACTAGAAAATGGGTGCAAACTTGTTGGCTAATGATTCCCAGAGAGTAGTTATAAATGGTTCACAGTCATGCAGGAAGGGCATAACAAGTGGGTTCCACAGGAATTAGTTCTGTTCAATATCTAGATATTGGCATAGACAGTACGCTTATAAAGTTTGCAGATGATACCAAGCTGGGAGGGGTTGCAAGTGCTTTGGAGGACAGGCTTATAATTCAAAATGATCTGGACAAACTAGAGAAATTGTCTGAAGTAAACCGGATGAATTCCAATAAGGACAAATGCAAAGTATCCCACTTAGGAAGGAACAATCAGTTGCTCATGTACAAAATGGGAAATGACTGGGAAGGAGTACTGCAAAAAGGGATCTACAGGTCATAGTGAACTGTAGCTAAATATGAATCAACAGTGTAATACTATTGAAAAAAAAAAGTAAACATAATTTTGGAATGTGTTATCAGGAGTCTATAAGTAAGTAATTCTGCTCTACTCCACACTAATTAGGCCTCAAGTGGAGTACTGTGTTCAAATCTGAGCTCCACATTTCAGGAAAGATGTGGACAATTTGGAAAAAGTCCAGAGAAGAGCAACGCATATGATGAAAGGCCAAATAAACACATCATATGAGGAAAGATAGAAAGAATTGGGTTTGTTTAGTCTGGAAAAGGGAAGACTGAGAGGGGACATAACAGCTTTCAGGAACCTAACAGGCTGTTACAAGGAGGAATGAAAAATTATTCTCCTTAACCTCCAATGACAGGACAAGAAGCAATGGGCTTAAATTGCACCAGGGATTTTTAGGTTGGACATTAGGAAAAACTTCCTAACTGTCCGGGTCATTAAGAACTGGAATAAATTACCTAGGGAGGTTGTAGAATCTCTATAATTGGAAATCTTTAAGAGCAGGTTAGATAAACACCTATCATGGATGATCTAGATCAGCGTTTGCCAAACAATGGGCCGCGGCCCGGTCCAGGCCTTAGCGGGGCTGCCAGGGTGTTCCGGGCTCCAAACATGCCCGTGCGAAATCGCGTCCCCGAACCCTATCCCGGGCTGGACGGAGGATGCAGCCGGGAGATCCAGCCTCCCAACGTGCCCGTGAGCGCCGCATCCCCAAGCCCTGGCCTGGGCTGCACGGAGGATGCAGCTGGGAGTTCTGGGTTCCCAGACTGCCCATGCGGCGCCACGTCCCCAAGCCCTGGGCCAGGCTGGACGGAGGATGCAGCCAGGGTTGCTGGACGGTGGTGGTCTCCATGGGTGAGTGGTGGACTACTTCTTATGGGAATTCAGTGGCTCCTCCAAAGGGCAGGCTCTCTATAGGGGCAGCACAATGCCAGGGAGCGCAGACCACCTGGCAAGGGCAGCGGGAAAGGGCTTCATCTCCTCAGAAGCATGTGTATTTTCATGCAGACAAGCGTGTGTCATTGGTTTTCCTGTCATGTGATACAGCAGCCTCAGCTTGTTTCTGCACAGTGGGACAACGTGCACGCCCTCTTAAATTAACTGCTTAAGTTTTCTTCATTTATTTTCAACAACATCCCCTCTCATTTTCATCTTCAATATGGATAAATGGCTGAAGAATGTGACTGGAAATACAACTAAAAATGTTTGAATGATGTGCAGTCTAGTAAAAGTGAGAATAAGAAGATAAAAATTCCTTGGACCACAATTATTCTGATGAGTATTTGAAATTTGGTTTTATAAGTGTTGGTAGTGATAATCACTTTCCATTATGCATAATCTGTCACACAGAACTATCCAACGAGTGCATGAAACCATCAAAACTGAAACGCCATTTGGAATGCAAACATCCAGAATACGCAAGTAAGCCCATAGATTTTTTCATAAATAAGAGAAATGAATTAGCTTTTGCTAAAAAAAAGCATGAAAAGTACACTTTCTATGGCCTCTTCAAATGAAAACCTTGTGTTGGCTTTATATGAAGTTTCAAAACTAATAGCCAAGACAGGTTACCCACATACTGTTGGTGAAAGGTTAATACTTCCTGCATTGCATATTATTACATCCTGTATTTATGGAGGAAAAAAGGGAAATCAGTTGGGTTCTCTGTCTTTTTCCAACAATACAGTGAAACGTAGAATTGAAGAAATGGCGAAAAATATTGAAGAAATGCTCATTCATCGAATACAGAATAGTCAGTTTTTTGCATTACAATTGGATAAAAGCACTGATGCCAATTTGATGTGTTTTTTTAGATATAATTATGAAAGCTCCATTCAAGAAGATCTCTTATTTTGTAAACCACTTCCAACAAGAACAACGGCTGCCGAAATTTTTAAGCTAATTAATTATTTTATTATTCAAAGCGATATTGACTGGAAAAAGTGTGTTGGACTGAGCAGTGATGGGGCTCGAGCAATGGCAGAGTCTCGCACTGGGCTTGTCCCGCGGATTCGAGCTGTAGTGCCTGATTGTGTATGGGTGCACTGTAATATTCACAGAGAGGTACTAGCTGTGAAAACTATGCCATCACTTTTGAGTTCCACTCTTCAAGAATGTGTGAAGTTTATAAATTATATAAAATCTCGTCCTTTGAATTCCAGAATCTTTACTGCTTTGTGCAACAAATTAGGAAGTGAACATGAGCATCTCTTGCTACACTATAAGGTTCGATGGCTGTCGAAAGGAAACATTTTTAAAAGACTCTTTGAAATGAAGGATGAAGTTTTATTGTTCTTGGAGTGACTCCCTCCATGGGCAAAAGATGTTATATTTACATTTAAAGACAGGTTTCATGAATTTGATTGGTTAACAATGGTGCCTTACTTAAGTGACATATTTTGTCTTTTAAATGATTTAAGTTTGAATTTACAAGGCACTAAAATTAATATTTTCAAAGTTCAGGAAAAAGTTGAGGCAACAATTTAAAAACTTTGTTTATTGGCACAGCAAGTTAACAAGAGAAACTTTAAGTCTTTTTGTATTTTAACTGAATTATAAGAAAAATATGATTAAACTAATATCTCAGATGCGATTTCTGCGGCAATCCAAGAACACTTCTTGGGGCTAATATCAAGTTTAAATGAATATTTACCTCCAATTGATGCCAGTAAAATGTGGATTAAGAACCCGTTTACTGTTGGCACAGAAAATGAAATACTACAACTGAGTGCATCAGAAGTGGATTCATTAATTGAACTTTCCAGTGACTCTGCCTTAAAAGAGAACTTTGATAAACTCTCCTTGATTGATTTTTGGTTGAGCTGTAGAAATGAATATTCACATTTATCTGAGAAAGAAGTCAAATTCTTAATGCCTTTCATCCTGACGTATAAGTGTGAAACTAGTTTCTCATCTTTGGTTTTTTTCAAAAATAAATATAGAAATAGATTGAATGTTGAATCAGATTTGAGGATAAAACTTTCTTCTTTTGCTCCTGACATAAAGTTGCTATGTGATGCAAAACAACATCACCCATCCCATTAATTTTCTTTTTAGTTATTTAAAAGCTATAAAGTGCACACAAATGACTTATATTCAACTCACTCAATTATAAATAAACAAACTTTACAACTGTTAAAATTCTACTGGTTAAATTGTAATTGAGATTTATGTGATGTACTGATGTTATGAATAAATAATACATAATGAAAATGTATTCATTTTTCTTTTTTTTTAATATGCATTTATATTTTTGGGCTGCAAAAAACAATACTAAACTAGGTTCCAACTAAAGTAAAAAGTTTGGGAAACCCTGGTCTAGCCAGCTTTCTATCCATCTTACAGTCCACTTATCCAATCCATATTCCCTTAACTTTCTGGCAAGAATATTGTGGGTGAGCGTATCAAAAGTTTTGCTAAAGCAGGCACTGGTGGCTTTGGGAGGACTAGAAACTTATCTGCATATTCATCATTTGCTTAATGAATATGTAAATATGCAAATGAATGTTACCGGTTCTCCAAAAGCTCCTTAATGGATTTACTGGTCCCCATGTCAAAAAGTTTGGGAACCCTTGGGCTAGATGATTTTTGGTCCCGCCCTGAGTGCAGAGGACAGGACTTGATGACTTCTTGAGGTTCCTTACAGTTCTAACAAAATGCAGGACAATGTAGCACTTTAAAGACTAACAAGATGGTTTATTAGATGATGAGCTTTCGTGGGCCAGACCCACTTCCTCAGATCTGAGGAAGTGGGTCTGGCCCACGAAAGCTCATCATCTAATAAACCATCTTGTTAGTCTTTAAAGTGCTACATTGTCCTGCATTTTGTTAGATTAAAGTGCTACATTGTCCTGCATTTTGCTTCAACTACCCCAGACTAACACGGCTACATTTCTATCACTATCTTACAGTTCTAAGATTCTATGAATTGTTCTCCATGTTTACTGAAAGTAGGACAAATAGCAATGGACTTAATCTGTAGTGAGGGCAATTTAGATCTTAGATATTAAGAAAAAGCTTTTAAACTAGGTATGGTTAAATTCTATAATAGGTTTCCAAGGGAAGTTGTAAAATCCCCATTGCTGGAGGTTTTCAAGGACAAGATGAACAAACACTTGTCATCAGTGGTCTAAGTTTACTTGATCCTGCCTCAGTGCAGAGAACTGGACTTCATGACCTCTAGAGGTCCCTTCAAGGTCTACATATCTATGATTCTTAAACAAAAATATTTCCAAGTGAGAAGGCAAGCAAGACTGAATGCTCCCATAAGAAATCACCAGTTACATTCTGCCTCCCCAAATATTTTCACTAGCACTACCACTAGTAGTGTCATAGTGTCACTGGTATTGAGTGATAGTGACAAACTCCTGTTTCTAAAGAGGAGGAAGCTTGCAGAATGGCAAGATCAGTGCTAGAATAGCAAAGAATCTATGCCTTGATTCTGCCAGCCATAATCCTCTTCTCGTAGAGTGGAATATTGAACACCGTTATAAATCTGGTCCTAACGCTTTACCCTTTCATGGGTTGTCTGCGAGGATCCTTACATTTGCATTAATACTCATGCTGCCCAGTGAAAATTGCTCTGACTCATTAGCAAGCAACTACTGACCATTTCTTAAAATGACACAGTCAAGAAGTTTAAGTCCAAAATACGTTTTTTAAACAAAAGACAAGGCAAGAATTAAAAAAAAACCAACCAGGTTCCTGGTAGGAAAAGCCTATTATTTTGCCAAAGAAAATGCAGTCTGATACCTCCTAGTATGACAGTATTTTGCTGATGTTCATGGAAACCAACAATCATAAATTTCCTGACTAAAAAACTAAACACCTAGATGGTCAACTCTGGTTCACGTCTTCCCCACAACTCACCTACAAAAGACTTCACAGTGATTTTCAGCTGCATGAAACAATAAATCCTGTGGGCTCAGCTGATGTAAAAGGGTGCAGCTCCATTCACTTAAGTGGAATAGCTACCCTGACATCAGTAAGGCAGCCGATCCTCTACATTATCAATAATATTTTGTATTATACATCAATGCAATCTTTGTGCTTCTTCATAACATGCTCTACTCTACACCTCTTATTTGTAAACTATGACTCTCTTCATAATCATGAAGTATTTGGTATGATCTTGATTGATTGATGGATTGATTGGATGCTGGAATGTCTATATATGTGGCTGTCAGCGGCTGTATCTTTGATTGGGAAGATGATGGGCATGTTGGCCGCTTTGTATCCAGGCTAAATAAGGGAGCAGTTAAGCTATGTGTACACTACAGAGTTTTTTTTTGAAAAAAGGCCATTTTTCTGAAAAAACTTGCAGAGTGTTCACACCTCAAGCACATTTTTGTGCACAAAAATCGAAAGAACAGAGGGTTTTTTCCGGTGTAGGTATTCCTCATTCTATGAGGAAGAACACCTTTTCGTGAAAGTGATCTTTTGCGAAAAGGTATATGCGGATGGGGAAGACGAGTTTTTTGTGTAAAAAGAGTAAAAAGGAAAAAGCACAGGTGCCCTGGTGACCATTCTGTGCATACCAATCAGTGCTTACTTTCAAGAGAGTGTCTAGGCAGTCTAGATGCTCTTTTTTGCAAAAACGCATCGCCTTTTCAATGAGCTTTCGTAATATGGACGCACTCTTGCGCAAGACATTTTTGTGGAAGATCTCTTCCAATAATAGCTTCTTGCACAAGAAGCCTGCAGTCTAGACAGAGCCTTAGAGACCAGGACTACACTAGAAACTTAGATCAGTATAACTAAATTGCTTAGTGGTGTGAAAAATCCACACCTGGAGTTATACCGACCAGGGCTGCCAACAGAATTGCCAGGCTCCTGGGAAAGGTAGGACGGCTTGCCCCCAGAAAGGGCAGAGCCTCAGGTAGAAGGTTAAGGGCTAGGACTAGCCTCCCACAGCTATCCCTTCAGTATTTCTGGACCTGTGCCATGCAGGGCTCCAGCAGTGATTTGAAGGCCCAGGGTTTCAGTTGCTGGTACAGTAGCCGCAGCCAGATGCCACAAGCCCTTCTAAATTGCAAGGCCCTGCTGCAACTGCCCCTTTTGCTCCCCCATCCACCAATAGCCCTGATATTGACTTAACCTTCATGTAAACAGCAGCATGATGATGGGAGGGCTTCCGCCATTGACATGGCTGCTATCACTTGTGGAGGTGGATTAATGACGCCAGCGGTTCTGCATTGTTGTGCCCAGCTGTGCACTAAAGGCTGCTGGGCCCTGTGGGTTTCAGGGTCTGCAGCCATACAGCTGGGGTTGAGGACTTGGGATCCTCGGCTGGTTGCAAAGGTGGCGGGTCCACAGCTCTGCCCCACCCTACACACTCCAGTCTGCTACCTGGCCCCACATGGTGAGGAGTCTGGAGCGGTTGGCCTCAAGCTTGACAGAGTGTAGGGTCCAGTAAATATAAATACTAGAATCCACACACCCTCAGTCTACTGTGTTTTAATTTACATCAGCCTGTGAATACAGTGTAACAACTTTCTTTACTATGTGTATGTATGTTTGCAAATGTTTGTTTGCAAATACAGGCAATCCCCGGGTTATGTACAAGATAGGGACTGTAGGTTTGTTCTTAAGTTGAATCTGTATGTAAATCAGAACTAGCGCCCAGATTCAGCCGCTACTGAAACTGACCAGCGGCTGACTACAGGAAGCCCGAGGCAGAGTTGCTCTGCCCCAGGCTTCCTG